TCTCTCTCTCTCTCTCTCCCTATTTCTCTCTCTCTCTCTCTCTCTCTCTCTCTCTCTCTCTCTCTCTCTCTCTCTCTCTCTCTCTCTCTCTCTCTCTCTCTCTCTCTCTCTCTCTCTCTCTCTCTCTCTCTCTCTCTCTCTCTAATCATAGGTCGGTGTTGTGGGCTTGCCTCACCAGCACAGGCTTGCTTTGCAGCCCCTACTCTCCCTGTTGTTTTGCCATTGTATACTCTGTTGTCTTCTCCCCTTCTGACGAGTAGGTTGTGTACTTAGTAAAAAAAAGTCTTAAGCGAACCATGAATTTTTTCTTTTTCTTATCCGAGTTCAATTTTGAAAAATCTAGGATGTGACCGACGAGGAGATATTAGGTGTGATTTCTAAGGGCAATGTGGACAAAACAAATGCTTGAGAACTAAGAGATGTAGCCTTCTGACTGTCTCTCGCCTTTCGTTCTTGTATTTCTCAAATAATCAATGTTTGCCCTTTTGCAGATGTCGATGAATGCTTGACTATGTGCAAAGACAAGAGTACCAGTTGCACCAACACAGTTGGGAGTTACAAATGTGAATGCCAAACGGGATATAATGGAACTGCACCTTCTTGCACTGGTAAGTACACTGGTTAGCAGTTTGGATCCGCTGCTCTGTTCTGAGAAGCAGTGATCCCTCGTTCAATGTGTATTTTACTCCAATTTTAACTTTTTCCAACTATCCCCCATGGTGAGAGTCTCTGAACCAAACTGTCATGGGCAGTAAATGAGATTCACCAGGGGAATAAAGGAATCAACTTTGAGCAAAATGGAATATTCGCCATGTTCCTTGATTTGGGTAATTACAGGTATTGACTCCTGCAAAATTAAAACAGTTTATTCTGAACTCCTCCTGCCTGTTGTGAATGGGAATAATAGTTGAGGAAGTAGTACTTGTACTTGTACCTGGTTGATTGACCCATGTGTGTTAATCTATTCCTCTTATAGATATCAATGAGTGTAACAGCATGTGTGTTAATCTATTCCTCTTATAGATATCGATGAGTGTAACACCATGTGTGTTAATCTATTCCTCTTATAGATATCGATGAGTGTAACAGCATGTGTGTTAATCTATTCCTCTTATAGATATCAATGAGTGTAACAGCATGTGTGTTAATCTATTCCTCTTATAGATATCGATGAGTGTAACAGCATGTGTGTTAATCTATTCCTCTTATAGATATCGATGAGTGTAACAGCATGTGTGTTAATCTATTCCTCTTATAGATATCAATGAGTGTAACAGCATGTGTGTTAATCTATTCCTCTTATAGATATCGATGAGTGTAACAGCATGTGTGTTAATCTATTCCCCTTATAGATATCAATGAGTGTAACAGCATGTGTGTTAATCTATTCCTCTTATAGATATCAATGAGTGTAACAGCATGTGTGTTAATCTATTCCTCTTATAGATATCGATGAGTGTAACAGCATGTGTGTTAATCTATTCCCCTTATAGATATCAATGAGTGTAACAGCATGTGTGTTAATCTATTCCTCTTATAGATATCAATGAGTGTAACAGCATGTGTGTTAATCTATTCCTCTTATAGATATCGATGAGTGTAACAGCATGTGTGTTAATCTATTCCTCTTATAGATATCAATGAGTGTAACAGCATGTGTGTTAATCTATTCCCCTTATAGATATCAATGAGTGTAACAGCATGTGTGTTAATCTATTCCTCTTATAGATATCAATGAGTGTAACAGCATGTGTGTTAATCTATTCCTCTTATAGATATCAATGAGTGTAACACCATGTGTGTTAATCTATTCCTCTTATAGATATCGATGAGTGTAACAGCATGTGTGTTAATCTATTCCTCTTATAGATATCGATGAGTGTAACAGCATGTGTGTTAATCTATTCCTCTTATAGATATCAATGAGTGTAACAGCATGTGTGTTAATCTATTCCTCTTATAGATATCAATGAGTGTAACAGCATGTGTGTTAATCTATTCCCCTTATAGATATCAATGAGTGTAACAGCATGTGTGTTAATCTATTCCTCTTATAGATATCGATGAGTGTAACAGCATGTGTGTTAATCTATTCCTCTTGTAGATATCAATGAGTGTAACACCATGTGTGTTAATCTATTCCTCTTATAGATATCAATGAGTGTAACAGCATGTGTGTTAATCTATTCCTCTTATAGATATCAATGAGTGTAACAGCATGTGTGTTAATCTATTCCTCTTATAGATATCAATGAGTGTAACAGCATGTGTGTTAATCTATTCCTCTTGTAGATATCAATGAGTGTAACACCATGTGTGTTAATCTATTCCTCTTATAGATATCAATGAGTGTAACAGCATGTGTGTTAATCTATTCCTCTTATAGATATCAATGAGTGTAACAGCATGTGTGTTAATCTATTCCTCTTATAGATATCGATGAGTGTAACAGCATGTGTGTTAATCTATTCCTCTTATAGATATCAATGAGTGTAACAGCATGTGTGTTGATCTATTCCTCTTATAGATATCGATGAGTGTAACAGCATGTGTGTTAATCTATTCCTCTTATAGATATCAATGAGTGTAACAGCATGTGTGTTAATCTATTCCTCTTATAGATATCAATGAGTGTAACACCATGTGTGTTAATCTATTCCTCTTATAGATATCGATGAGTGTAACAGCATGTGTGTTAATCTATTCCTCTTATAGATATCGATGAGTGTAACAGCATGTGTGTTAATCTATTCCTCTTATAGATATCAATGAGTGTAACAGCATGTGTGTTAATCTATTCCTCTTATAGATATCGATGAGTGTAACAGCATGTGTGTTGATCTATTCCTCTTATAGATATCGATGAGTGTAACAGCATGTGTGTTAATCTATTCCTCTTATAGATATCGATGAGTGTAACAGCATGTGTGTTAATCTATTCCTCTTATAGATATCAATGAGTGTAACAGCATGTGTGTTAATCTATTCCTCTTATAGATATCAATGAGTGTAACAGCATGTGTGTTAATCTATTCCTCTTATAGATATCGATGAGTGTAACAGCATGTGTGTTAATCTATTCCTCTTGTAGATATCAATGAGTGTAACACCATGTGTGTTAATCTATTCCTCTTATAGATATCGATGAGTGTAACAGCATGTGTGTTAATCTATTCCTCTTATAGATATCGATGAGTGTAACAGCATGTGTGTTAATCTATTCCTCTTATAGATATCAATGAGTGTAACAGCATGTGTGTTAATCTATTCCTCTTATAGATATCGATGAGTGTAACAGCATGTGTGTTAATCTATTCCTCTTATAGATATCAATGAGTGTAACACCATGTGTGTTAATCTATTCCTCTTATAGATATCAATGAGTGTAACAGCATGTGTGTTAATCTATTCCTCTTGTAGATATCAATGAGTGTAACAGCATGTGTAATGGTTCATCATCACAATGCAACAACACTTTGGGAAGCTTTTTATGCACCTGTGATCCTGGATTTACTGGCGATGGATTTAATTGCACCGGTTAGCAATTACCCTACGTATAGTGTGTGTTTGTGTGTGTCGGTGTGTGTGTCGGTGTGTGTGTGTGTGTGTGTGTGCGTGTGTGTGTGTCGGTGTGTATGTCGGTGTGTGTGTCGGTGTGTGTGTGTTCGCGCCTGCACGCTCGCGCGTACTAGTACGTGTGTACGTGATTCCGGCACCTTGATAGTTTCCACCAAACCTGCACATGTAGTATCCTGTGTGTTTCGTGAAAACAACGGAAGGGTGGATCACGTTACGAGTGAAAACAACGGCGGGAGGAACTTGTTACGAGTGGGCCTTGACCATTCCTAGCATATATTTCGGTTGAATAATTGGCGGTCGACCTCCGTGGTCTCTGGACCCACGGATCAAGCGCCGGAGGGTGCTGCGGTGTCCTCACAACCGGATACTGTGTCAAAGAAATGGGATCAATTTCTGTGATTGGCGGTACTGTCATTGTTGCCGACTCAACCCCAACCCCAGCCACCAACGGCACTGGTGGTGGCTCCGGTAGCGGCAAGGGCAACGGTGGAGAAGGCACATTCAGTTGGCTTAGTGATCCACCATTCTTCCTCTGCACCGTGTGTTCGACTTGCTCTGGCTGTGTCGGTGGTAGAGGGAGCGGGTTCTTGCGTGGTCTTCACCACTTAGGGCGCTTCACTTTTGCTGCGTCCGGCACCATGTGAAGTGGTACGTCCTGTTTGATACGTGCACTCAGGTGTTGAAGGGTCCTACCAACGTACCGGCTATCATAATTCCGGCACTCAAATTGGTAGACCAAGTGGCTCAATAGGTGGGATGTAGGACATCCTTCCTCACCGTGACCGCACGTATCGTACTGAACACAGGGATGAAGTGCGCCGCAAAGTATGTTTGTGTAACTAGCATTTAAATTGTGCGGTACAATGTCTGTGATGCCTCTCATATGCAGATGTTTGGTTTTATTAAGACATAACTTGTGGAAAAGAGAAAATATTGTACAAAACCCAGACACTAATTGTTAACTATTAAAATTGATTAATCCATCGTTAAGCTAAAGAGAAATTGATAGGTGAATACCAATGATCATTTCACACCAGGTTTGGACGCCCTTGGTTTGCCTGCAAATTGTCAGACACTATTAATTTTGTTAACTACTAAAATAATATTGATTAATCCATCGTTAAGCTAAAGAGTAGTCGATAGTTGAAAACCCATGGTCGTGTTAATCCTAGTTTGGACGCCCATTGTTTGCCTGCAATGTCAGACACTGTTTGTTAACTATTAAAAATTGATTAATCCATGGTTAAGCTAACGAGTAATCGATAGGTGAAAACCCATATTAACCATTTCAAAGCTAATTTCCGACGCCCATGGTTTGGCCCGCAATGTCAGATTTTTTCACTTCACTTTCTTTGGAATGCACAATTTCATTTTCTAAATTCACTTATAGACACATATACGCTTGAAGACAGAACCTTTGCCCCAGTTTTGAACCAATCCGCAACAGGCACGTTAGACCCAGCTTTGAACCAATCCGCAACAAGCACGTTAGCCCCAGCTTTGAACCAATCCGCGACAAGCATGTTGAACCAATCCGCAACAAGCACGTTAGCCCCATTATCAGATGGTGGTGCAGACCCAACGTCATCTGTGCCTGATATCGGGGAAACCCCCGCCCAATCCGACTCAGTTATGAGTACTGGGAGCACGACAACTTTCAACAGCACCTGTAAGTAATAAATTAATAACTCCTCTTTTCAAGTTGATACAAGATTGTGATGGGGTAATTGTGATGCTGGATCTCACACTTAGTTTCACTGATTTTCTTTTTTCACTTCACTTTGCTTGCAATACCCAATTTCATTCTCCAAATTCACTTATTGGCACACCAGTTCTTGCACCTGCACCCTTAGGACTCCAAGGACCCAATGGCGCATGTGCCCGATGTTGGGAAAACACCAGTCCAATTTCACTCTGTAATGACTACTGTCAATATAACTAATAACTAATACTAAACTAAAACCGCTAATTAAGGAATGTCTTCGCTAAAGATTTGCCGCACGGCAAATGGAAAATTTGCATGTCGAGTACGGTACCAGTAATCTAATTTGTTTTAACCCTGAAACTCGCACCTCTAAAATATTATATTTCATCGCTAATTGGTTCTGATTTAGAAATGGATAAATTTGTTAGCCGCTAAAACTATCCTCTTTACAGTACTGGGAGTACTACAACTGACAGTAAGACATTTAAATGAGAATATTGGATAATAATAATTAATTAATTAATAATTGTACTCAGATGGAGAGCCAAGTTATGTTAGAACCTTCCAAGTTGGAACATGGCCAGCAATCGAGGACATCTGAGAGTTGTAATTTTTGCACTCCTCCGAGGTGTGATTTTTGGCATGCTGGGCCAAGCACAAGGAAGCCATCTGCCAAAAAATGAAGAAAATGGTTGTTGATCCTTTGGTATAAACTTTGTAGCTAGTCGAAGGAAGTTGCCGTTTGGAGCAGAAACGCCGATATTGACAATTTTCTGCATGTACTCATGCATGTACTCAGGTACTCAGGCATGCAGTCTCACTCGTATTTTAGCTCTTTTTCTGGAATGGAGGCTGCTCTGCGCCCCTCGGTGAACATTTCCTGCGCTCGTGGAGCAGCTGAAAAGGACCACTGGTATGTCTGGTTCCTGGTTTGAAAGTGGAGAGTCCACTTTTGTGCCTTGATAAATGTACGCCTGTAGCTTATTTTGAGTGCTCCTCGTACAATTTTGATCATGATAGAAATTCTCAGACCAAAGTCAGCGCGAAGATGGCCGTACAGTTTTCTTGTGCATTTCTTAGTTGTTTCGTCTCGTATCTATGTCAGTATCGTGATGGTGAAGTGGAGAGGGTGATTTACTTCCTCTGGGCTTCGTTCGGCCGACTTTGCTTCGTCCTCGTTGAAAAGTGATGCTGAAAAAAAGGTCGATTTATAGCATAATTATGTTGATTTTGAATGTACGTGATGACATGCGATTGCTGGCTATGAGGCTGTTGGAGTGTGCATCCAAGATGTGCTAGAGCTGTTAGCCAGTTAGTTGTAGAACGTCAGTACCGTCGGTCAGTGTCGTGCAATGTTATCGCATGAGCTGATTGTTTAGTAACTGGTGGTGTTAGTGGACAGTATAGCGTAATTTGTAGTTCCTTGGTCTTTCTCTTTGTATAATTATTATAATTACAAAGTAGTGGTTGCGACTTCGGCGATGATTTGTAAGAAAGGGTTTGCTCCCCACACCGGAGCTCTCGCTATTCCGTCGACTTTACTTGACACTTGACTAACTCACCGACTGCCATCCAGAGCACACGAGAAGTCCATCGAACCTTCGACTCAACAAACCTGCAAGAAAGCACCACTCCCTGCTCAATACACAGTGTTTCGGGGAATTCACCCCTCATCAGTTGAGCTTGAGTAGGCTGAGGAAGATTGTGCCTGAAGAGCACCACTTATATAGTGCTCTCCAGGCACAAACATCACCAGGGATACAAACTTACAGAGACGCTCCGTTTCCAGCACGACAAAACACCTCGTGAACACCAGATAGCAGCGTGAGTCAGTGTCGCTCCTGGATGGTGAGACAGACGTCGAGGACCCTCGGTCATTCGCAGCGCTGTCACCTCCAAACCAACTGATGATGAGAGTAAAATAATATTTAACTCCACGTCATCTAATTATCCACTGATGATGAGAGTAAAATAATATTTAACTTTTTGAGGATGAAGGACGAATATATCCGTTTTTTAAGGTATAGCTGGATTCCTAAAGACGAGTATATCCGTTTTTGAGAAAAGTGGGATATCGATATATTTTTAGGTGCTTGAAGTCGCTCATATGTTGCTGAGACGAGTATGATCTGATTCTTCGTCAAGGTGAGACAAGTTGCTGTCGATCCACTTCGGTCCCGTGGAGAACCAGCCACATTTGAGTATACTCAGAGAATGCGTTGATCGAGAAATTATTTGGAATTTGAAACTAAAGGCCGATTCACAATACAACTTTCTGCGACGCGACATGCGATTTGCGACACATGCGACGAGCTGCGGCAGCGACACACGGTTCACAATATTCATGTTTGCGACGGCCTCATGCGCACAAGTAGTACTATGCAAGTGCACTGCACGTGCACCCAGGGTCGCAACTGTACTCCATTTGTGTATGTCGCGTGCCGCATGTCGCAAAAGTTGAACTTTCTTCAACTTTTGTGACAGGTGCATTGCAACGGCTTGCGACAGCTCGGGACAGGCAGTTTCTTGTCGCAACTGTCGCAAATCGCGTGTCGCGTCTCAGAAAGTTGTATTGTGAATTGGCCTTAACTTGTTACTTTGTTGAGCATACTAGAAAACTGAAAACTTTAGCAGAATAGCAAAAATAGAAAAATATCAATTGTGCACTCATAACCATGTATAAAACAATTAAAATGAAACAATTCCAGAACGTTTTCGTGTGACCATCATCAGTGGAACAGCGTCACATAGTAAGAATCACTAAAACAACCAGTTATATAGGTAGAGTAATATGAAAAGAAGTGTGAGAATGCAGCACAGCTAGCGGTTATGCATAACGCGTGTAGTGTGAACCTTTGCAGTGTATCTGAGAATGGTAGCAGTAGATGAATGTGGCAGCTGTGAGTGCGTGTGGACAAACCTGGTGAGTGCGTATTATTTGAAAAGTGTGAGTGCTACAACATTTTCTTTTTGCTTGCATAGAACAGGGTCACATAATACGCACTCACCAGTAATGAAATAAACTAGGTGAGCACTCATACAGTCAACTTTGCGAATAGCGACATTCGGCGGGGCATCAGAAAAGTGTCCTTAGTCGCGAAGTGTCCTTATATCCAAAGTCCCATTTGAATGTATGTGAACCCATATTTTGTATGGTATGACATGCATATCGAAATGAAGCTCTTTTCATGCTCTACGTCAAGTTGTACTTTATTTTCGTATTTCAATTGAAAGGAACAATAAAGTCAATGTCCAAGGGAAATAAATTGAAAAAATAACCTTTTGGAGCCATCTACAGGGACA